ACCATCAGCCTCATGAGCTTCCAGTCTGATGGGGCAGACTTGGCCCTGCCTTTGGAGGGCCTGGGTGACTCAAGGAGTTGCAAGAAGAGAGCTGAGTTGTTGGGGGCCTGAGCCCCAAGCAGGGTGGCTGGGTGATCTGGAGAATGTTCGTGCACACACCCAGGCGCCCACGTGCCCTCACCAGGACATGTGCAGAGAACCCCGTGAGCCCTTGCCCAACCATACCCAGTGAGCACCCAGCAACTCAGAAACACCTAGAACAGTGCTGCCTGAGGGGTGCTGGCAGGACCAGTCCGTGCAGGCTTTGGAGGAAGGGAGCCTTGGCCAGAGAGAGAGAGCAGCCAGGGCTGGCGTGGTCTTGTTAGCAAGGGCCATCAGAGCATACTGCTCGACACCTGGAGGTGTGGGCTCGGGTGGGGGACATCCTGGCCTGCATAGGGGCCTGATGGTTCCCGGTGAGGGATGACCATGCTTTGGGGTGGGCTGGAGTCAGGGCTGGTGGCTTCTGGCCTTCTGAGTCATCCTTGTGCCTCCCGGGCAGGGCAATGTTGTCCTTTGGAAGCCCAGCGACACTGCCATGCTGGCCAGCTATGCTGTTTACCGCATCCTCCGGGAGGCTGGCCTGCCCCCCAACATCATCCAGTTTGTGCCAGCTGATGGGCCCACATTTGGGGACACTATTACCAGCTCAGAGCACCTGTGTGGCATCAACTTCACAGGCAGCGTGCCGTAAGTCCCTGGGGTGAGGTAGGGCAGGGTGCTTTAGGGATGTCACCTCTGTCCAGTAGCTGGGCTGTGAGCCAGAGGTCTGGCACTGACCATACTTACTTGCTGTGTGGCTGTGGGTGAGCCACTTCCCCTCTCTGAGCCTCTGTCTCTTCACCTGTGTAGCAGGACTGCTGATCTCTACCTTACAGAGTAATCATCAGGGTTGAACTAGTTACAAACAGGAAAGAGCTTATCGGCTAGAAGCAGCCCACGGGTGTTTGGCAATATTGATTTTGATGCTGTCTCTGTCACTCGAAAGGGGACAAGGGAGCCTGGAATAAATAATTGGAGGAGGAGAGTAGGGGAGGCGGTGGGAAAGTCTTGTAGGAGAGGGGATAGCACATGCAGAGGATTAACGCAGAAGCTCTTGTGCTCTGGGAGGTGGTGGTGCCATGTGGCTGGAGCTTGGAGTTGGGGGACTGCAGGTAAGAGAGTGGGAGCAGGACATGGTTGGATCATCACTGCTTATTCATTCACTTGCTCAGCTGGGATTTAGCCCCCCTGCATGCTGGACCCTGCTCATGCTAAGACTCAGCAGCGAATTTGTGGAGAGGACAAGGTCCTGCCTCCGAGGGGATTTTAGTCCAGTGACTCCAAGGCCCTGTGGGCTTGAACGATGTCTGGACTGTATCCTGAAGGTGATGGGAGACAGCGAAGGTTTTATGCAGGGGGAGTGGCTTAATCAGGGTTCAAGCAGAGATTACAAACTACGGTAGCTCTTCAGTGGGACCTGGCGAGTGGCTGTGTTCTTTGACTGCTAATAGGGATGAAGCCACCTGGTACAGCTCTGACAGTTTCATGTCAAAATCCAAATGATGGCTTCTTTTGACAACCTGGATGCTCTGGTCCCCCTTGGCCCTTATTTCCACGGGCTGGAGGTGGGCAGGCTCCCCACATCCCCCACCGCACAGGTCTCCGCACCCCGGGTCTGCCTCCCTCCCTCCCTGCCTGTCCCTCTGTGCCCCGCATTTGCAGCCTCTGTCCCAGAGGATGGCTCTGGCTGCTCTGCACACAAGCCGCTAGTAGCTGGAAGCAGGAGACCATAGGAGTCTGTTCACATCGAGCAGGACGACAGGGCCTGAACCAGGGTGGAGACAGTGGGAATGGAGAAAAGTGGGACAATTCAAGGGAGAGAGTAGCAGGGAGATTCGATCACCTGTCTGTGGGGTTGGGATCGGGGATCAGCGGGAATGTCCAGACTTGGGGCAGGAGGCATCGTTCGCAAGGTGGGCACCCCAAGGCCCAGCAGTGGGAAGGTTAGGGCAAAGATGATGCACATGTTGGTCACTTTGAATTTGGGGTGCCCATGGGTCACCTGGGTGGAGATGTCAAGGTCAGCACTGGGGACCTACCAGATGTCACTGGGACACCTGCAGTGGCTTCGCTCTGCTGGTGTCAGGCTCCCCCACCCCTCTTCCCTCCAGGGTTTGCAGGGTGGCAATGGCAGCGTTAGAATTGCTGAGGAGGGCTGTTTTCCGAAAGGCCTGCTCTGCCAGCCGAAGGCCCCACGGGTCCCTGCCTGTTAGCGGGCGGAGCGGGCCTGGCCCCCATTTGCCATGCTCTGATGAGCAGCGGCTCAAAGGTGGGAAAGTCATAAATTAGTATTAGCTACTGTGTCGCTGGCTCCCTGGTGATTAGCATTTTTATTGTTTTGTGGTGCCGAGGTTGGTCACACTCCGAGCCCAGGGAGGAGGCGCCCAGGGAGGAGGCAGGCCTGAGCTTCCTCTCCCAGGACCGTTCTCCTCAGTTTGGCCTCTGGAGCCTTGGGTGCTGGGTAAGGGCACCCCTCGCAGACAGTGACAGCGTCTGTCCCCCATCAAGCACAGTCAGTGGGCTCTTAACTCTCATTAGAGTGAATCACAGAACAGCCCTGCCCAGTGGGATTCTTCCCTCCAGTTCCCAGATGAGACACCGAGTTTGAGGCTCAGAGACGTTAAATAGTGAGCAGAAGATCACATCGCCGTGGGTGCCTGAGTCAGAGCTTGAACCCAGTACCCCCCCCCAGCCTTCTCTGCACCATCCTGCCACCAAGGCTCCCCTTGCTCCCTCCCCGTAGGCCTGGAGTGCTGCCCATTTCCAGCTGCCACCGCCTACTGGTTCCCCACCACCCCTGCTGTGAACCCCTGCTCGCCTCTGGGCTGCCGACCCTGGCCTTCCTCTGCTGGGGCCTGTGCCACAACCCCCAGAACCCTCACCCTTTCAGATACCCAAGCCCAGCTCCCTAATTCCCATCCTGTCCTCTGGTTTCAGCACCTTTAAAAACCTGTGGAAGCAGGTAGCCCAGAACCTGGATCGCTTTCGCACCTTCCCACGCCTGGCTGGAGGTAAGGCCCCTCTGCCTGCCCCGTGCCTGTGGCTCCAGGGAGCCTCCCCTTCCCCGGCCATCACGCAAGGGGAGGTGAAGCAGCCATAGTTGGGGTGCTGCAGGAGCTAAGACCTGGGGGGCCTTAGGCGTGGAGCCTGTGCTCTGGCAGGTCCTGGGGGTTGTGCAGAGCACCTGTGCCTCAGAGTGTTCATTCATTCATTCATTCATTCATCAGTCATTCAGCAAATTAAGTACCGTGGTAGGGAAGGAGCCCTGGCTGTTGACATGGGTGGACCCCTTCACCTCTTGCTGGTTTGGGGGGTTAGTGGAAAGCTTAAAGCTGTGCCCACTTCTGGGAGTGGAATGGGAGCCTAGGATTCTAGTCTTTCCTCTGCCATGGTATTGGGCAGCACCGCAGTCCCAGCCTCAGTTTCTCATCTGTATAATGGGGGAGTTGGTTCTGATGACCCCTGACGCCCTTCACCCTTGGGCATCAGTTTTCTCATCTGTAGAGTGGGAGAGCAGGCCTGGCTCATGGGTGTCTGGGATGCTGCCCAGCTCTAACTCTGCCTCTCCCGCTCTCATCCGCCCAGTATTGGGGGCTGGTCACAGGGCCCCATGGACAGCCGTGGGCAGTGTGGTGGGCCCCTGGGCTGGCCGGAGGAGCCTGCTCCTTCATTCGTCCCCCCACCCTGGCCCCTGTAGAGTGCGGGGGGAAGAACTTCCACTTCGTGCACCGCTCAGCCGACGTGGACAGCGTGGTGAGTGGGACCCTGCGCTCAGCCTTCGAGTACGGTGGCCAGAAGTGCTCGGCCTGCTCCCGCCTCTACGTGCCTCACTCGCTGTGGCCGCAGATCAAAAGGCAGCTGCTGGAGGAGCACGGCAGGATCAAAGTGGGCGACGTGAGTGGGGCCTTCATCCGCGGCCCAGCGGGCGGCTGGCGGGATTGCAGCTCCTGTGCGGGTGGGCCGGGGCGTGCAGGAGGGGCCCGTGGCCACTTGGTCTCTTCTCGTGTCCCCCCTCCTCCAGCCTGCAGAAGATTTTGGGACCTTCTTCTCCGCGGTGATTGACGCCAAGGTACGGGCTAGAATCCAGTTGTTCTGGGGAGCTGAGCCCTGGACCGGGTGGAAGAGGGAGGAGGAGATAAGGGGGCCCCCACTGCTTCTGGGGAGGGAGCCAGATCGCCACCCCCGCCTCCAGCTTTTAAAGGGCAGAATCCTCCAGCCAGAGAACAACTCGCCTCCTGCACATGCTACAGCCGAGCTCAACAAGCCCCCTTTAAGTGCATATTCATACAGACACAGCTAGGCCCTCACATCTGTGTGCATAAACCTAAACACGTGCACATGTATGCACATACATGAACATGTTCACGTGTGGGCATGTGTGTCGGCCTTTCCACATACATGCATATACATCCATACACACATATCTCTGTACATGAGCAAATCCACCCATGTGTGTGCATGCAAAGATTCATGTACATGTTTGTATGTATATAGAGGCACATGTGTAGGTCAACATGCATGTTACATACAGGGGTGGGCAAAAGTAGGTTTATAGTTGTAATTCAAGTAAGTAATACAATNGCATGTTACATACAGGGGTGGGCAAAAGTAGGTTTATAGTTGTAATTCAAATAAGTAATACAATAATCAATAATACAAGAATAAACTGTTTCACATACGACTGTAAACCTACTTTTGCTTGCCATGTATCTACATGCTTAAGTAAAGCAACATGGCCATGCCTATGCCCATGTGTACATTTATGCCATATGTGTATTTATATGTGAGTAGTTCTAACACACGCACACACACGCGCACATGCACATCTGCCCTGGTTTCTGCCATGGCTTACCCAGACCCTCAGGGCCCTCCCCTCTGCCATGTCAGAATTTGGGTCCCTCAGGAACAGGTGTTTTGGGGTGAGTGTATTGGAGGCTGCTGCTGGGACCGGTCCCCTAGCCAGTTCCTGACACCCTTCCCCACCTCTGCAGTCCTTTGGCCGCATCAAGAAGTGGCTGGAGCACGCCCGCTCCTCGCCCAGCCTCACTGTCCTGGCGGGGGGCAAGTGTGATGACTCTGTGGGTTACTTCGTGGAGCCCTGCATCATCGAGAGCAAGGACCCTCAGGAGCCCATCATGAAGGAGGTGACTGGGCGGGTGGCCGGAGGCACAGGGGAGGACAGCCACTCAGCACAGCATGTGCACAGGGCCCTTGAGATTGGTTTTCTTCTCCAGGCATTATCCCATTTCACAGATGAGGAAAGTGAGCAAGTGAATGTCTCACACCCAGTGAGAGCAGAGCCAGGCCTTGAGCTCAGGCCTCCTGACCCCAGATCCAGTGGTGGGTCCTGACACTGCTGACACTGCCCAGGCCCACCACAGTGATCGTAACAGCTGACATTTATAGACTCAACTGTGGGCCGGCCACAGCTGCCACTTGATGGCGGTAAAGGGGGTATTATCAGTCCCATTTTGCAGATGAGAAACTGAGGCTCCAGGAGGTCAAGGAACCTTGGTGGCAGCGGGAACAGTGATACTGTTGGGGCAGTTCCTGGATCAGCTGTTGCCAGAAATCTCCTGTTTCCTTGGGCCTGGGCCCGTGGCTCTACGGGTGTGGGTTTGGCTGGCAGAAGGGCCGGAAAGTTTCCTGGGATCTTTTGCCGGGGTGGGGTGGGGTGGGCAGGGCAGGGCAGGAGCTGGGCACGGTGCTATCCTGGAGGAATCCAGCAGAACATGCACCTGGCCCTTCTTGCAGGGGCTGAGCTGTGCACCGAGGCCTGGGGACGGGGCACTGAGAGTAGAGGCAGAGGGCAGAGCAGGCTGGGAGGCCTCAGGGCCCTGGTCCAGGCTGAGGCTGGTCTTGGGCTTCTCTCCCAGGAGATCTTCGGGCCTGTGCTGACCGTGTACGTCTATCCAGACGACAAGTACAAGGAGACACTGCGGCTGGTGGACAGCACTACCAGCTATGGCCTCACGGGGGCAGTGTTTGCCCAGGATAAGTGAGTGGCTGCCGTCCCTCTGCTCCCGGCCTGCTGTCCTGTCCACACCCTGGACATGGGTCCTAGCAATAATGCCACCCCTTGCTTTCCATCCACGCCCCTCCCCTCAGCCCCGACCGGCAGGCAGGCCTTCCATGCACAGGTATAGAGAGGCAGCTGGCTCTTCGTTAAAGTGCAGGTTCTGGGGCCCGGCTATTGGGTCTGGATCTCTGGGGGTGCGCATGGGAATAGGAGTTTTTCACCAGCTCCCCCAGTCTGAGGGGGCCCCGCTGTGCAAGGTCATCGCCTCATGCTGCAGAGTGGGACACAGGCTCGGGCCGGGCACACTGCTCATCTTGCAGAGGCAGGATTTGATATTCACCCTGAGGCTTTGCTTTTTCCTGCCTCCTGGCTTAGTTGCCACCCTTTTTCTGTCTAGAGAAAATGAGGTGGGAGTGGAACCTGAGGGTCAGGGTGAGGCTTGAGGGGTCCCCCAGCTCCTGAGGGACAGGAAAATTGGACCTGGATGGGCCACCCCCTTGAGTGTGTGCTGTTTGACCCCCACCCTCAGTCCTTGCAGGAGCCCTGCAAGGGAGGCCTGAAATCCCCTTTCCAGAGGAGAAAGCTGAGGCCCAGAGACCCTAAGTAATCTGCCCAAGGGCCCACAGCTGGTGGCTGGCCCAGGCTGGCCCATGTCACTGTCCCAGTGATCGCCTGGATAGCCAGCCTGGGCCGGGTGGGTATGGAGGTTGGACCTGGGGCTGGAGGGGTGGGTGAGCTGGCTGCCCTGCCTTGTAGGAATGTTGTCCGGGAGGCCACGGAGATGCTAAGGAATGCTGCCGGCAACTTCTACATCAATGACAAGTCCACCGGCTCAGTGGTGGGCCAGCAGCCCTTCGGGGGGGCCCGAGCCTCTGGTGAGTGGGTTCCTGTTTCCAGGAGGAGTCTTGAGATCCTTCATTTCAAGGGTGCTAAGAGTAATAGGAACCGCACCATCCCCTGAGCACTGTGGTCGGGCACTGTGCTCACCCCCAGTTCTTTTAACAGCCTTGTGAGCCAACATGCTAAACTGAGGCACAGGGTGGTGAAGCTCCTTGCTGAAGGGCACGTGGCTAGGAAGTGGTGGAGCTGGCTTTTGAATCTAGTACCCACAGCTTGTGCCACAATGCTCCAGGTCACTTCAGTCCAACTCCCTCCTATTTACAAATGGGGAAACTGAGGCTCAAGTTGGGGTGGTGACTGTCCAAGGTCCCAGCTGCCCAGTGGCCGAGCCAGTGCTCCCCTGTCCCCGAGACACCCCTGGCAGGTGGGGCACATGGATCCCGGGATTGTCGGTGTCCTGTCCGCTCACAGTTCCTCCCTCACCCGACCTCCGGCTAAGGGTGCTCCTCACAGATGCACTTAGGAAACTGGCCACTGTGAACACTTTTCGTTGTAGTTTGTTTGCTGCCCACACTGGGGCCCCATTTATTCCATCAACTCCTCCCCACCCCTTTTCCCTTCTGCCCAGAGCTGATATATCTTTTCAGAGGCAACCAGAGCTGTCTTTTCCACAGGAACCAATGACAAGCCAGGGGGACCCCACTACGTCCTGCGGTGGACATCGCCCCAGGTCATCAAGGAGACGCACAAACCTCTGGGCGACTGGCGCTACTCGTACATGCAGTGAGCCTGCTCTGCTCCTCCGCCGTCCACCTGTCTGTCTGTCCAGGCACCTGACCTCAGAGCACTGGGCCCACCCCAGCCCTCCACCCTGCTCCCTATAGATGGCCCCTTTCCTAGAGTCAAGGGCTGGCTCCCTGCCCCACACTGGCCTTATCCTGGCCTGTCCCACATCTTGGTGTCAGGTGCCCCAGCTCAGGTTTAAGATCCTGCAGGGAGGGAACAGGCCTGCTGCCCTCATCCCATCGGCCACCTTAGAAATTGCATCTCGGAGGTGTGACCTTGGTGCCGGCTGGTTCTCTATCTCCCCTTTCCTCCTCTTATATACTGGCCCAGTGGTTAAGGGACTTGGGGAATGATGGGGCAGCTCCTGATCCCTTGGGTAACAGGAGGCAGCTCTGGGCCCCTTGGCAAACCTCATGACCCACAGAGGTTCCTGGCCTGACCCTGGCTTCTCCAGGCCTGCAGGACTAGGTGTGACCAGGGTGGTCGGCAGGGCTGGTGAGTCGTGGCTGCAGGTACTGGGACATTAGCTGACCTTGCCCCCTTTGGTCTGGGCCACTCGCCTTTTACAGTAGCTCTTTGCCCAGACCCACATGAGCTAGTGGATACCTGTGCCTGACCTTGAGCCTTAGATACCCATGTGCCTTCCTCCAGGCGCCCGTATGTCCACGTGATTGACAGCTTCATGTGGCGAGGCTGGAGGCCACCTTCCAAGATGTGGGATGTGCTGGTCCTTCTTGGGGCTGTGATTTTGGAAATTGTGGGTGGAACTTAGCTCTCCTCCCTAAGCTACCCTCAGAGCCTTGTTGGCCTGGGGTTTCCTGCAGGAGCTCATTTCTCACTGGCCATGGTACGACAGGCCCAGGTAGATGCTCTTCCTATTCCCCAGTCCCCCAGACCTACCCTTGGGTCCCTGTCCTGCCAGCGCCAAGGGTTGCCCATAGAATCTTCTTCCTTTGAATGTGAGTGGCTTGGTGTGGACTGGCCCTTGGGTGGCCTGTTCTTTGTTTGATGTAGCCATTCGGTGGACTCTCACAAACAGGTTGGATTCTGGGTGGCCAGGGATCTATAAAGGGTGACTTGAGGGCAGTTTTTAGGGCGCCCTAAATGTCCTGGGCCTTCCTCAAGGACAGCTGTCAGGAGGTCCCCATGGGGTTGGCGTGGTCATTCCCCAAGTGCCATGACCTCCCACTGCGCCCAGCGGTCAGGGGCCTGGTAGGCCCCTGGGTTCTGCTTCCTTCCTGGTTCTGCACTGTTTCCCATAAGGGGCCAGGTCAGGTGGCTGGGGTGGGTGGGTGGAAATGTTCCTGGTTCTACTGGCTCTCTACTGTGAGGTGGCAGTGGGATTTGCCTTGATGTCACCCAATAAAATACCTGTTACTTAATCAAATTGGTCTTTCTGGTGGGGGTGGTAGGGGCTGGTCAGCATCTAAGTCTGATGGCATTGTCACTGTGTCATTAGGTGTCAGGGGCACAGTGCCCTCAATGTGATAGAAGGAAGGGCAGGCACTGATGAGTGGGAATACCTGCTGCAGGCGAGGGGAACTCTGGAGCCAGATGGGCTGGGTGCAGATCCCAGCTCCAAAATGTTGTGCAACGTCTGTGACCTTCTATCTCTTCATCTGTAAGATGGAATAGTAATACACACACACACACACACACAAGGTTGTCATGAGAATTAAATGAGTTAATCATTGTGTTTAGAACAATGCCAGACACAGAATTAATTATTGACAGTGTTACCCATTTACCCATTGTTGTAACAACCACTATTATGTGCTGTGATAAGTTTACATGCCTGGATATTTTAGTTAAATATTATTCTAGATGTGTCTGTGCAGGTGTTTTTGGACGTGATTAACATTTAAGCCAGTGGACTTTGAGTAAAGCAGATTACTCTCCGTAGTGTGGGTGGGCCTCATCCAATCAGTTGAAGGCCTTAAAGGAACAAAGACTTCCCCCCAAAAGAAGGAATTCTGCCAGCAGACTGCTTTGGGCTCAACCACAGCTCTTCCTGGGTCTGCAGCCTGCCAGCCTACCAGCCTACTGGCAGAATTGGCATTTACCAACCCCCATGACCTTGTGAGCCAATTCCTTACAATTAATCTCTCTGTCTGTGTGCCTCCTTTTGGTTCTGTTTATCTGGAGAACCCTGAGAATACACGTGCCAAGGACTTTGCATGTTTTTTCACGGCAGCCTTAGAAAGTAGGTGCTGCCTCGCCCCCATTTTGCAGATGAGGACAGTGCAGAAAGGAAAGGGACTTGCCAGGGGTATGGTATCACTGGAATGGAAACAGAGGTCTGTCCGGTTCCAAAACCCACTGTCTTTCCTCCACCCAGGTTCACACGTGGCACTGACCGCCTTGCAATGACCCGCTTAGCCAATTAGCTGGAGCCCAGAATCTGTGGGTCCAAGCCCACCTGGGCCAGCTGGTGTGGGGGAGGAGCAGGTGTGTGGGGGGGACATGTGTCCTGGCCTGTCCCCACCCACAGATAACATAGGAGCTGCTCCTGAGCCACACTGACACCCCTGTCCCAGGTCCATGAAACTGGGCTGTGGGCGTGGAGACTCTACCCTTGGCAGAGCCCCCACTCTGCTAACCCGGGGGCTTCCACTGATTGTCCGAGGGGGGGCTTGACTCAGGGACAAAGGGCAGGCAGCACCCCAAGCCCAGGCTGGAGCTTAGGGAAGGGAAGGATGACAACTGCGTTTTCTAGGTGGTGGATATGCAGGTCCTTCCAGTGTTTTTGCGTGAAGGGAGTGACTCACTCAAGGTCACACCGAGACAGCAGCAGAGCTGACTGATCACTGGCTAAGTGCTCTAACTACCTAGTCTCACATAGCCTTGGCATTGACCTTACCGGGTAAGGCACACCTAGGTGTGCTAGTTACTTCAGTCATCTATCTTCAGTCTTCTCATCTGTGAAACGGGAATGACAGAATTTACCTTTGGGGCTGCCGTGAGTATCTGAGGGTGTGACATCTAAAGCCTTGAGCACAGTGCCTGGCACACAGCTTATGTTCAGGTGCTGGCGGCTTTGCTGACTTTGCTGGCCTCCAGACGGACCAGGCAGGAACTGAGAGGATGAGCACGTGGTGGGGGAATCAATGAAAATGATGTGACTGTGAAGAGGGTGGGGCTGCACCCTGATGCTTCCTCTGGACCCCCAGGAGCTCCGAGCCATCCTGTGGCACAGGTGGCCCCTCATTTCCTTAGAGCGCACGCCCGACTGGCAGCCCCTGGACAGCGGTGGCAAGGACGTCCGGCCTCAGTCAAATGGTTCACGCTCCAAGCCCGGACCTGTGGCTGGGCCTCCGGCCACAGAGGGAAATGAGGAGACTCCTTGGGCCAGCAAGGACATGGGGACTTAACTGTGGTGACCATGCAAAGAGGCCTTGGGCACCTGGGCAGCATAGGTCACGCGCAAGGGAGGGGATGCTCCCTCTGGAGCTGCTAAAGACACCCAGCATCTTTCAAGGTATGTTCCAGAAGCTTTGGCTCTTGCGGCCGGTGCAGAACCCGTGGTGGGCCCCCATGGCCGCTCATTTCATTACAGGAGGGACAGTCTAGAACTCTGGCAAATTCCCCTTCCTCCGGGGTCTGCTCTGCACCCCGCAGTCCTCACATGCCATTTTGTCCAGTCCCCACGCAGGTCCCAGGACGCTGGGATTATTAGCCCTACTTCAGCAGGGGAGGAAACAGAGGCTCAGAGAGGTTATGTAACCTGCCCGTGCTCACACAGCAGACAGATCTGATGTCCCATCCAGGCCGGCCAGCGTCATGCTGCCCAAGGTTCCTCGGTGTAGACACGCACATCAGCAGTTACCCAGCAATGATGAGGCCATTACCCGATGCTCAGCGACAGTACAGACGGGAGGGTCACAACAGCTCAGAACCGGGGCAGTTCCTGCAAACGGGACAGGGATGGTTTCTGGAGGAGGCGAGGCTCCAACTTGCCCTTGAAAGAGAGCATTGGGTTTCCAATGACCTTTCTGTATTTTAGGGCCTCCTCCCACAGCCGGGAGCAGCTGACAGGCCCTGGTGACCCAGCTGAGCTGTGCGTTATTCAGCAGGTCCCCTTAGGCTGCTGCTAGGCCACACGTCCTTAGGGCCCGAAAAGACCGAAGCAGCATCACGTGGCCAAGGGTCTCTGATTCCAAGGGGTCCCTAAGAGCTGACTCCCTCCAGACAACTTTTTCGGATAGTCACCTTTGACTGGGAATTTTCAACTTTCCTTTCTGCCGGGGCCCATGCCCCTCGGCTCTGGTCCAAGGTGGGCAGCTGAGAGGGGGCTCCCTCTGCAAAGCTGACCAGCAGGCAGATTGTTGGGCTGGGCCCCGCAGCTGCCAGAGGGAGCAAGAACCCCTTCCCCACTCCTGCCTCCCATTCTCTCTGCTGCCACCCTGCTGCTTTTTTTTTTTTTTTTTTTAATATATCTTTATTGATTTCAGAAAGAGGAAAGGAGAGGGAGAGAGAGATAGAAACGTCAATGATGAGAGAGTCATTGATCAAGCCCGCAACCCGGGCATGTGCCCTGCCTGGGAATCGAACCACGATCGCCTGGATCCTAGGTTGACGCTCAACCGCTGAGCCCCGACTGGCCGGGCCACCCCGCTGCTTTTTAACAAAAGCGGTAACCTCGAGAGTGTGGTGGAGATGCGGAGCTGCTCCCTAGAGTCTACTGGGCTATTTGAATCTTGGCTCTGTGGGTTGTGCCTTAGTTTCCTCATCTGTGAACCAGAGTTAGTAAGAGTCCCAGTTATCAGGAGCATTAAGAGAGATGGAGAATGACAGGCACTCAGCACAGTGCCTGGTTCTTTTATATATATAAAATGTCTTTATTGATTTCAGAGAGGAAAGGAGAGGGAGAGAGAGAGAGAGAAACAGCAATGATGAGAGTCCCTGACCCGCTGCCTCCTGCAGCCCCCTGCTGGGGATCGAGCCTGCAACTCGGGCATGTGCCCTGACCGGGAATCGAACCGCCATCTCCTGGATCCTAGGTCGATGCTCAAGCACTGGAGCAACACTGGCTGGGCCATGACACCTGGTTCTTAACGACAATGGCTACGACTTGGGAACACCTGCTATAGGCAGATGCCATTGTAATCACCGCATGTCAGGCCAGTTCGGTCAGGCTCTGAAGCAGGGCTCCATCTGCCAACCTACTGTGTCTACTGGTGTGATCACCTATGTCCTTTACTCCCAGAAGTTTGAAGCGTCAGGGGGACGCGACTTGTCCTCGATCATGAGACAGGAAGCCAGAGCCAAGTTGGCAAGACATGCTCACTCTACCTCCAAATGGGGTTCTTCCAAAGCCCCCAGGCCGCACTGCGCCCTTAGAAGGGATCCTCATTCAGCCCCCTCCCCCTCCCCAGAGCCCTCTAACCTCTCCACCTGTCCAGGTGCTCTCCCCACCCTGGGACAGTGGCCGGACTGTCACTATGTAAATGTCTGTGCAAATCCCCTGGCGTCAAGCGGCCAGCTCTCTGGTGAGGCAGAGCCACCTCTTGGGACGCCCACTTCCCAGCCATGGGACCCCAGGCCACGGCGGTCTGCTCCCTGCTCTTTCTGCTACAGGTCCTGGCTGAGCCGGCTGAGAACTCGGACTTCAGCCTGGCTGGGGATTACCTCTTGGGAGGCCTCTTCACCCTCCATGCCAATGTGAAGGGCATCGTCCACCTCAACTTCCTGCAGGTGCCCAAGTGCAAGGAGTGAGTCTCCAGTGGGAGGGTGGATGTGGTGGTGAGGGTGAGTGGGAGCCAGGGCTGGTCCTGTGGTCCTTGGGAGGCCAGGCCAAGACTGAGGGCTCAGAAAGCGCCTCCTCATTCATTGCCAATCCCCACCCTGGAGCCGCCTCGCTGGCCCCCAGAGAGGCCCCACACTGGCCATTGTTACTGAAATCTTTGGTCATTGTGTTTGGAAACACTGAGACCTGGGTTGTCCCAATGCCACGTCTCTTACCGTAAAGAGTTATAGGGTGTTTGAGGTTGTAAGACCATGTCTGAGAGACCATCAAAACCACCCCACCCTCTCTGGCAACTAGGGGGCTCCCAGTGAGTCCACGTCGAGGCCCAGGGGAGACACCAGCTGTCATACCTTTGGAGGCAGAATGTGGTTCTTCTGCAGCAGGATCTCAGGCTGGAGGGCGCGGTTTGCCTTTTCCCAGGGCTGTGGTGAGGTGGGCAGAGGAGCTCCCAGGACCGGAGGGGACTTTCTCTGCCCTCCCTCCCCTGTGAGCCCCTTGGGGTGGCAGCATCACTCGGAAACTGGGTGGGCCATCTTCATGCCAGGATGAAGGCCGGATACTGGAGCCAGCCTAGGATTAGAAAATAGTGGCAGTGAGCAGAGAGGGCAAAGGCATCCTGGGGGAGGGAGGAAGGAGGAAGGGTGCAAAAGGCGGCTGAGCACTGGCTTCTATGACGTTGGGAAGACTGCGTGCCGGCTTGAGAACGGTGAGGGCGATGGTACCGGGATGGTACTAAGCAGGATGTTAGATGTCCTGACACCTATGAGAATGGCAGGGAGTCCAGTGAAGTGATGGCGATGATGGTGGTGATGATGGCGATGGTGGTGTATTGATGGTGATGGTGGTGGTGATGGTCATGGTGATAGTGGTAGTGGTGGTGATGGTGGTGGTGGTCATGGTGATGATGATGGTGATGATGATGATGGTGTTGGTGGTGATGGTGATGGTAGTGGTGGTGATGGTGGTGGTAGTCGTGGTGATGATGGCAATGGTGCTGATGCTGGTGATGCTGATGGTGGTGAAGTGGCCTATTGATGGTGATGATGGTGGTGGTGAGGGTGGTGGTGATAGTGGTAGTGGTGGTGATGGTGGTGGTTGTGGTGATGATGATGGTGATGATGATGATGGTGATGATGATGGTGTTGGTGGTGATGGTGATAGTGGTGGTGATGATGGTGGTAGTCGTGGTGATGATGGTAATGATGCTGATGCTGATGATGCTGATGGTGGTGAGGTGGCCTACTGATGGTGATGATGGTGGTGGTGAGGGTGGTGGTGGTGATGGTGGTCATGGTGATCACGTGGTGACAGTGATGGTAGTGGTGATGATACTGGTAACAGGAAGAGTAGGTGATGATGGTGACAGTGGTGATGATGATGATGGAGGTTATAGTGGGTAATGGTGGCCACACTGATGCACATTGGTAGAGTGATGACAGAGTCCAGAGTGGTGGGTGGTCGTGGTGGCGGTAGTGGTGATAAAGGTAGTGACTGATGGTTGCCACAGAAGTCATAGTGTCAGGGGTGGTCCTAGAGATGACGATGGTGATCTTAGAGATGCGGTACCAAATCTTCTGGAGCGGCTGCTTCTTGAGCAATGCCTTCCTTGGCTCTCCGTTGGCATATAGGAGCCCCAGGCTGGCTCTCCCCTGCCTCCCCCTCTCATTCTGGACCTGCTTCCCCCCCCATTGCGGCCCCTCCAGGTACGAGACAAAGGCTCTGGGCTACAAGCTCATGCAGGCCATGCACTTTGCGGTGGAGGAGATCAACAACCACAGTGGCCTGCTGCCCGGCGTGCGGCTGGGCTACGAGATGGTGGACGTCTGCTACGTCTCCAACAACATCCAGCCCGTGCTCTACTTCCTGGCGCGGGAGGACTATTACCTGCCCATCCAGGAGGACTACAGCCACTATGTGCCCCATGTGGTGGCTGTCATTGGCCCTGATAACTCTGAGTCTACCATGACTGTGGCCCACTTCCTCTCCCTCTTTCTCCTTCCACAGGTAAGACCCCTGGGCCCTGGGAGAAGGGGCTGGAGATTGTTCAGAGACTCACTTCCCCCCACCAGTCACCGGTGGAAGTGGGTGGGTTGAGGTGGGAGCAGAAGCAGGGTCAGGACATCAACCCCAACCCTGGGAAAGCAGCCTGGCCTATTGGTTGAGAGCTCAGGCTGTGGGGGCAGACACTTGGAGGTGCATCTTGGCTCTGAGTCATGCCCATTGTGAAACCTTGAGCAAATCTCTTATCTCTTCTGAGCCTTGGTTTCCCCAGCTGCAAAGTGAGACGATAAGAGTTCTATCCCAGGACTGGCTGACGATTAAAGTGTTTAACCTGTGCAAGAGTTTCCAGCACACAGTAGGTAGTCAATAATGTTACTGTGGTTATGTAAAGCATCTTGCACAAGAACAGAAACTCAGAAAATGCTCAATATTATTCTGTGTCGTTGCCTAGCACAGGGACTACCACATAGTAAGTAGGTCCTCAAGGAAGTGCTATTATTACTATGATTATTATCACCATTACATTGTCATGATTGAAAGTGCCTAGCCCAGAACGGGCATAAAGTATCTGTTCATTAAAGAGTAGCTAGCACTGGACTTGGCACACAATAGGTAGTCACACATTTTGTAATTTTTTTCTGTTTTTTAAAAAATTGATTTTTAGATAGAGGAAGGGAGAAAGAGAGTGAGACATCGGTTTGCTCTTCCACTTATTTGTACATCACTGGTTGCTTCTTGTGTGTGCCCTGACCGGAGATGGCACCCGCTGTCTTGGTGTATCAGGACAGCACCCCCACCAACGGCCAGGGCCTTCGCTGCTGTTTTTATTATGTAAAGCTTCTAGCATGGGGTCTGACACATAGTAGGTACTCAATAAATGTTCGTATTCTTATGTGGACCATCTGGTCTAGGACTGAACTCACTTTTTCATTCATTTAACAAATATTTATTAAGCACCTACTATCCCTGGTACTGTTGTAGGCGCTGGGGATACAGCTGGGAACACAGAGCTTGTCTTCTACGGGGAGAGACAGACAGTAAACGTAAATAAATAAGTGATTTAGGATGTTAGCGAGTCAGAAGTGCCATGGAGAAGAGGAAGAGTGGAGCGGGGTAAGGAGATGGGGCATGTGATGGACAGGCGGAGTGGGTGGAGGTGGACTGCAGTTGGAAACTCGGTGGTCAGGTGGGGTGTCCGTGTCGGGGGCCCCTGCCCTCCCGCAGGTCACCTACAGCGCCATCAGCGACTACCTGCGGGACAAGCAGCGCTTCCCTTCCCTGCTGCGCACGGTGCCGGGCGCGGATCACCACGTGGAGGCCATGGTGCAGCTGATGCTCCACTTCGGCTGGAACTGGATCGTCCTGCTGGTGAGCAGCGACGACTACGGGCGCCGCAACGGCCAGATGCTCAGCGATCGCCTGGCCCGCAGCGACATCTGCGTCGCCTTGCAGGAGGCGCTGCCCACTCCGCAGCCCAGCCAGGCGGTGACGCCGCAGGAGCGCAGGCGCCTGGAGACCATCGTGGACAAGCTGCAGCGCAGCTCGGCCAACGTGGTGGTCGTGTTCGCCCCGGAGCTGGCGCTGCACAACTTCTTCCGCGAGGTGCTGCGCAGGAACTTCACCGGCACCGTGTGGATAGCCTCTGAGTCCTGGGCCATCGACCTGGGCCTGCACGACCTCTCCGAGCTGCGCCACGTGGGCACCTTCCTGGGCATCACCACCCAGAGCGTGCCCATTCCGGGCTTCAGCGAGTTCCGCATGCGCCGTGCCCGGGCCAGGCCACCCCCGTCCAACAGGACCCGTCTGAGGACCACCTGCAACCAGGAGTGCGACACCTGCCTGGACACCATGGAGGCCTTCAGCACCGTCCTCACGCTGTCCGGGGAGCGTGTGGCCTACAGCGTGTACTCGGCCGTCTATGCGGTGGCCCACGCGCTGCACCGCCTCCTGCGTTGCAGCCAGACCAGCTGCTCCAAGGAGGTGGTCTATCCCTGGCGGGTGAGAAAGCCGGGGCCCACGGGCAGGCACGGGTCTTTGCTTGCGGTGGAGAGCGCAGGGAAATCCCCCCCCCCAGCTCTAGTCCCTCCATCCCTAGGTGGGTCTGGGCCAATGGGTGGGAGAGGCCATGGGGCATGTCCTGCCTCCCACACATAGAACCTGAAGTCCTTCAAGGTGCCAAAACAAATGTCCCTTTTCTTTATTTTAATCCCCACCATCCAAGACAGTCTGGAGATTCAGGTGAAATTCTATGGAAGCAAATCTACAAACAGCGCAGGCCCCGTGCCCCCTGCAGTCTCTCCAAGGTCAGGGCCTGGGGAATGGGCTTGTGGATTCCATTAGCACTCCAGGTCCCGGGTTCAGGTTTAGGGATCATTGTCCCAGAAGATAGGGTTTTTTTGCTCCTGTTTTGCAGAAGAAATTGGGGTTCAGAGAGGCTAGGCGACAGGTCCAAGGCCTCATAGCAAGTGGCATAGCTGATGCCTAAACCCAGAGGTACCTGACTCCAGAGCCAGACCTCTCAGCCACTTGCCTCCCTGATGCCACATTTACAGAGTCCTGGTGCCCCCATTTCACAGATGTGGAGATCAAGGTGAGCGAGTGGCAGATTGCTCCCAGGCCTGGCCCGAGCTCGGATGCCAACTCCACTTCCCTGTTCTCCGGCCCCTCTAGCTACTTCAGGAGATCAGGAAGGTCAACTTCACCCTCCTGGGCCACCACATCTCCTTCGACCAGTATGGGGACCTGCTCATGCCCCTAGAGGTCATTCAGTGGCGGTGGAACCTGAGCCAGAACCCATTCGAGAGCATCGCCTCCTACCACCCTGCACAAAGGCAGTTGAAGGATGTCCGCGAAGTGTCCTGGCACACCCCCGATGGCACGGTCAGCTCTCAGGGACCCTGGGGGGGGGCTATGCAGGGGTGGCCCAGCCCTTTTTATCAAGAAGGCACCCGAGATTCATTACGAATGGCTGGTGTTGTCTCTATTTGTGGGTGTCCTGTCCGGATCCTTTCTTCCCACGGTTGATTAATAATTGGAAGTTCAGGGCTTCCTGGCTCCTCAGGACTGTGGGGATCAGGGACTTTGCAAAGTAAACGTTTACTGGACACACGTGTGCGAAGGACTTCAGTTCTCATGTCAACCCTGAGAAATGGGTGCTACTATTTTCCCTATTTTTATGGATTAGAAAACTGAAGGCGCAGACGTGCCCTCTTCCCAAACAGGCCATTCCGCTCCTCTCCTTTGCCCCACCGCTCTTGCTCTGTCCTCTACTTGCAATTCATTCATTCATTCATTCAATAATCAATCATTGGAGGCCTCCTCTGTGCCGGGTACTCCCCTAGGTTCTAGAAATTCAGCAGTAAAAACAATAGACATGGTCACCGCCTACCTGCTCTTGTTCAACTGAAAATCCCGCCCCTCCATACAGGCTGTGTTCATTAAGACTCTTTGTCGCAAGTGACAGAAAGTGACATAAGCAAAATGTTAATTTATTGGTTTCAGTGGAAACCTCTAGGGGTGGAGGTGAGGCTTCAGGCAAGGATGGATCCAGGGTCTCTACTCTCTCTGTCTCTCAGATTCAGGCATGTTCTCCGCCCTGGAGACAAGGTGGCTGCCAGCAGCCCCAGAGTCACATCTGTGTTCTCAGCAGCCTCCTAAAGTCTCTGTCTCCACAGATGGGGGGTGCTGCTAGGTCTCAGCAGGCGAAACAGAGAAGGTCTCTACAGAGGTCCAGTTTTAATGGCAGTCTCAGCACCCCGCCCCCCACGGGGCCAGGCTTCCCTCCCCTGAGCATCTGCTAGCTGGGGAGAGTAGGGAGGTCCTCAGAGTGCGGGGAAAGAGGGCTCAGGCTCTCATGCCTTCCTCCTTCCAGGTCCCCACGTCCACATGTTCCAAGGACTGCCAACCTGGGCAAAAGAAGAAGTCTGTGGGCATCCACCCCTGCTGCTTTGAGTGCCTTGACTGCCTCCCTGGCACCTTCCTCAACAAAACGGAAGGTAAGGCTTGCAGGCTGGCACCCACCCTGCCCTTGCCTCACCCCAGGGGTCTCCAGGCCCCCTCCCCCTTTGGCAGGGTCTCTGGGTCTCCCTGAGGCAACATAAGTGTCCAAAGGCCAGGGACTATGTTTGATTCCACTTGTATCTCCCCAATACCTGGTGTAGGAACAGCATCCAAGCAGGCGGAGCTGAAATGGATCTGGATCCACACACAGAGGCCACAGCCCAGGGTGTCAGGCCAGGGGGAGTCCACTGGAGGATGGATGGATGGATGGATGGATGGATGGATGGATGGATGGATGGCTCTGCCAATAAAAGAAACATTGCTTGCAGACAGGGACCGTATCCGGTTTATCTCTGGCCTCCCAAATGCCTAGCATAGTTCAGAGCATGTAATGGTTGCTCAGTGACTATTTCTTTGATGACTTTGTTGAATGAAAGAAGTAATGAGCATCTCTTACTATAGATCAGAAACTCCAGCAAGGTGGGGACAATGACCTCTCTCTGTCCACGTCAGGGTTTAGCACAATTCAGAGGTGGGGCTCAAATTATTTTTTTCATGACTTCACTGATTAGTAAATTAAATGGATGCATACGCCTGCCAATCAAAGGACCTACTGTGTGCTCAGCAGAGCACAGGGTACAGAGTAGCTGCTCAACAGAAGTTTGTGAGTGATTTCACTGGCTGTTCTCTCCCAACTTGTCAGTAGCCTGAAGGCAGGGGGTGGGGTTTATCCATCTCGGTGGCATCCCACCTGAGTGGATGCTGCTCAGAAACATATTTGCTGAATGAATTCTTTGAATAAATAGTTGAATCTCTCTACCAGAGAGTGAGGTCTTGGAAGGAAGGAAGGAATTACAGTTGTTTGGCTCTGAGACAAGGAGACTTCGGTTCAGATCCTGCCTCTGTAACATCCTAGCTCTGTGACCTTCCCTGGCTGAGCCTCAGTTTTCTTTATCTGTGAAATGGGGCTGCTGTGAGGATTTGATCACCCAGTGGGTATAAGCGACTCAGTGAGTGTTGGCCATGACTGCAGGGGTTGCCCTTAGCTATCTCCCTCCGTCCCTGGGGCCTGGTCCAGGGCAGGCCCAGAGGATGTAGTACTGGGAGGGTGGGTCCTGCTGACGGGAATCGCTGTGGGCTCTTGCAGATGAATTTGAATGCCAACCCTGCCCAAGCACCGAGTGGTCCCACAGGAGAGACGTCTCCTGCTTCAAGCGGATGCTGGTCTTCCTCAAGTGGCACCATGTGTCCACCATCGCCGTGGCCCTGCTGGCGGCCCTGGGCTTCCTCAGCACCCTGGCCATCCTGATCGTATTCTGGAGGCACCTGCAGACGCCCATGGTTCGCTCAGCCGGGGGCCCCATGTGTTTCCTGATACTGATGACGCTGCTGGTGGCCTACGTGCTGGTCCCTGTGTATGTGGGGCCACCCACGGTCTCCAGGTGCCTCTGCCGCCAGACTCTCTTCACCATCTGCTTTACCCTCTGCATCTCCTGCATCGTCGTGCGCTCCTTCCAGATCGTCTGCGTCTTCAAGGTGGCCCGCCGTCTCCCGCGCGCCTATAGCTACTGGGTTCGCTACCACGGGCCCTATGTCTTTGTGGCGGTCATCACGGCGCTCAAGGTGGTCATCGTGGTGGGCCATCTGCTGGTCACGCCCACCAGGCCCACCGCCCGCGCCGTCCCTGATGACCCCAAGATCATGGTCCTCTCCTGCAACTCCAGCTACCGCAGGGGGCTGCTGGTCAACACCAGCCTGGACCTGCTCCTGTCCGTGGTGGGCTTCAGCTTCGCCTACATGGGCAAGGAGCTGCCCACCAACTACAACGAGGCCAAGTTCATTACCTTCTGCATGACCTTCTATTTCACCTCTTCCATCTTCCTCTGCACCTTGATGTCTGTCTACGAGGGGGTGCTGGTCACCTTCCTGGACCTCTTGGTCACTGTGCTCAACCTCCTGGGCATTAGCCTCGGCTACTTCGGCCCTAAGTGCTACATGATCCTCTTTTACCCGGAGCGCAACACGCCAGCCTACTTCAGCAGCGTGATCCAGGGCTACACCATGGGGAGGGACTAGCGCTGCCCCTGGGTTAGGGCCTCGGCGTCGGGGGGCGCGGGTCCGGGGCCTTGCTCCTTCGAGCGACCCCTGACTGTCACCGCAGCGCCCTGGCCTCTGATTCGGCGGCCCCTCCAGGTTCTCTGCATCCTGGATGTTTCTACCCACCTTGTCATGGATGTCGAAAAATGTTCACACTTGGTTCCTTTCCCTCAAGCTGTTTGCTTTGCCAGGCACTGCCACCCCTAGAAAAAAACCACCCAAGGTGACTTATTGGTCCCCGAGGGCAGAGTTTGATTTAGCAGCCTACAGCCGCCATCTGCTGGCCGCAGCCGGTCTCTGCAAACTGGCTCATTCCCTTCACTGCGCTCGCGGAGGGCGTGGGACTGGTGTGGGCCCAGGTCACGCTGTCCCGGTGCCACGCGCTAGCTGCCCACGTGTCTGTGCCTCAGCTCCCAGGTTCCCCCAGACCTCAGGCCCAGGCTTCTGTGTTATCTCTGAACAACGGCTGCACACTGGGCGCTTCCGAAATGCTCGTGGATAAACCTCACTTGGGTGAAATGAATGAGTTTTCTTCTTGCTTCCAGAGGTCCCTGAGAAAGCACATGTGGAGTCAGAGAGACCTTGGTTTGGATCCCAGTGTTGCCACTCTGAGCTGTGTATCTTGGGCTAGTTATTTACTGCCCTCGAGCCTACCCTTCCTCATCTCTAAAATGGGAACAAGAGCTGCTTCACCAGACACACTGTGTGTAGGGTGCATGTAGTAGGTCCTCAGTAAATGCCAACCACTGCAAATCCACATGACCCAGGGACCATCGGGGACAGGATAAGGTAGTGTTTCCTTTTTACACCCAAATGACCTGGCCTATGCTCTGGTCCATGGTACTAGTCTCTGTTGGAAATTAGCTCCACCCCAGCAAATTCTGGGGGTTGTCTTCAGGGTACTTGGCCTCGTGTGTGCCCCAGAGCCAGCGTGTGCCAGGACCCTGTTGGAACTTGGAGAAGCTGTGCTGCTGGGCGCGGCTGTGCCTTGCTGACCACCTCCAATGGTGGGCTCCAGTGGCAGGAGGGACCCTGACTTTTTTGTCCGGGAATCAGATCTGGCCTCTCCTAGCTCACCAGGGAGCCAGAACTTCAGTGCTGAGGCCGCCAAACTGCTGCCCAGAGAGGTTAAGGGTCCAGCTCAGGTGCACCCAGCTCACAAGGGGTAGAGCAGGTGTCCGAACCTCACCGCACTCAGGCAGGAAGACAGGGGCCCTGAAGAATCTGTTCCTGTGGTGCCATGGCCTCCCCAGAACTCCCGGGGGGGGGGGCGTGGATTTATAGCTTGGCCAGCACCAACCCTGGCAGGAGCCACTTCCAAGCTCACCTGCAGCCGGGAGGGCAGGACAGTCCCGGCTTTGTCCTGGATCGACCTCTTTCACCCTGCAAGGTGGTGGGTGGCAGGGTCTTGGCTGGAATCACCAGGGATTTGGGGGGACAGCCTTCCCATTTTGCAGCCGTTTCCGCAGAACAGCAAGGACAGTCCTGTTCCTCTTCTTTGCGCCTCTTTCCAGAGCCTGGCACGTGGCGGGGGCTCCGTGAACATGGGGAAGTGGCTAAGTCACTGCGGGATTCCACCGCCTTCGCCTCGTCACCGGTCCCCTCAGACCGTCGCATCGTTAACTCAGTTCCTCCCCCACGGCCCTGGGTGCTGGGTGCTGAGAAGTCTTCAGAAGCACAGAACAAGTGTTTGTACCTACAGCTGATGGCGATGAGGACAGTAGCTAACGTTTATTATCTTCCCTCAAAGCTGTGCCTCTTGATCCATTTATTCTCACCAAACTCTCTTAGTTAGGGACTGTTAGGACCCTTACCTTACGGATGGTGAGAAAGGTGCGGGTGGGGCACCCGCAGTCACGGAGGGGACTCGGTCTCCCCGCCAGGCCACTGTGTGCCGGGGCTTCGGATTCAGGGAGGTGGTGGAGGCGGTGACCAGGGAAGGCTGCGGGGGCAGCAGGCATTTGGAAAGAGCCTTGCAGGACGGAGAAGTGTTTGGAAGGCAGGAAGTTAGAGCGAGAGAGACAGGCAGGGGCCAGAGCAGCAAAGGTGGGGTGCAAGGAGGCCGGGGCAGCTCGGTGGGCGCACATGGCTCGGGGTGGCCGGGTTGTCAGGACTGAGCTTGGAAGGATACCTGGGGCTAGATGCGGGGGACCCTGACCCTGGCACTTGGACCCTGTCTTCCCTGATGGCCACTGTCAGCCTCTGGGCACAGGCTGGCTTGCCCCTCTCTTGGGCCGCCTGACCTGCTGGCAGTCCCTCTCTTCTGCGACCAGCCTCCTCTTTGGATGGGTCCTCTCCCCACAGTCCTGGGCGTTGGCCTGGCCTGGTGGGCAGGAGACTGAGGGGAGGAGACCCGAGGGCGGGCTGCCCCTGTGCACAGCCCTTGTCTCTTCCCTCCGCTTGCTTCCCAGGGGAGCCCAGAGCTCCCGGGGAGCAGCTCTGCATGCTCTGTCCCTGGATGTGCCCGTGTCCCGTCCCCCTCGCCCTCGGGACCAGATTGTCAGAGGATCAGCGAGTTTTAAGCTCTTAATTCTCTTTTCTTGCATGCTTCTGATGCCTTGGTTTAAAGTTTTTAAAGTGATAATGACCTCATTTCCCTGGCTGTGCCGCCCGGACCGCCATCAGAGAGAGAACCTTGGAATCCCACCGGCCTCAGAGGCTCTGCTCACACCTCCTTCTAGAGCCACCCTGAGCTCAGATCATTATCCTTCCTTGTTCCCCTCCAGTGATGGGAGGCTCACTGAGGGCAATGCCAGTTATGAGAAAATTCTTCTCGGATGGATTCAAAACCCAACCATCAGGGGTTTCCATTGATGTCCTCCCAAGGGTGGTGGTGGTAGGTGGTCCTAGGGAAGCTGACCCTGTCCTGGCTCCAGGGCGTGGAGCAGGTGACCTAGGCCAAGCCCATCTGCACATGCCCTGCCCCTGGATGCTGTGATTGACTCAGGGGTGAGCACATGACCTGGGTTGGACCAATCAGAGGAACTATCAGGATTTTGCTGGGACAAAGATTCTTTCTCTAGGGACAGACAAGGCTGTAGGCCCAGGGGCTGGGGCAGTGCTTGTGGGGCCATAAGGCAAGTCAGCCGTGGAGGACAGCTGGACCTTGCAGAAGACAGCGTGGAGGAAGGAAAAAATCCAGGTTCTTGGAACCTTTTGAGTTGATGGATCTTGCCTGAAGGTACCCCCACCTCTGAAGTCTTTCATTTTGCAAGTCCAGTAATGTCCACTATGGGTTAAGATGGTTTGAGTTTGGTTTTCTGCCATTAGCAACCCAATACGTCTTTATCCTACTGAAGAGGAAAATGAAGCCCAGAGATACTGATTAACTTGCCCAGGGTCACCCAGCTTGTAAGTGGGGGAGCTAGCATTTGGGCTCAGGGGGAAATTTGGAGGGTGTAAAGCAAGTGTCTTCTCCTTGATGATCTCTTTTTTTTGGTCTGAAGTTCTGCAGTTGCCCCTAGGGCCTGATTTTGACACCATCTCAGTCCTCTCCAGTAGTGCCACATGGAAGGAGCTGCCAGGAGCTTGGGACCGCTTGGGTGCAGTCCCATCTGGGCTCGCTCTATAACCAGAAGCAACAGTTCCCTTGACTCTGGGAATAGGAGACGAGGCTGATTGTGCCTGGGCCTCGAATCTCTGGACCTGCCCCCGTGGGGTGGGGTAGTGTCCAGGGTGGTCCAGGAGAGAAGGGCGGGCACTGCCTCCCCTCCTGCAGAGACGAGGAAAGTGCAGGGTGTTCCATACAGTAACGTATAGGCCCATCTGCTTCCAGTTAGCAGCTCCGGGGGAGCCTAATTGGCAGATCAAACCGTTCGATGTTGCAGGTTAGATAAGTAGTTAGAAGAGCCCCAGCGGAGTCTGACACTTTGGACGGAGCCCAAGCCCTGAGAGTCCGACCACCGCGGGGCCCAGGGTGCTAATGTGAACCAGACCCTGGTGCATGGAAGCGGGAGGATATTAACAAGTGTCAAAATCTGTGAAGCATCTGCACAGATGCAGCCCTGCCTCTGCCCCATGCGACGAGGGGCCACAGCAGCTCCTGAAACTGAACCTTGAACGTTAAGGAGGAGATCTCAGAGGGTGGTTTCCTGACGCTGGCTGTGGCTGGGGACAATCCAAGAGCCCATGGACCTACCCTGGCAAAGAGATGGACTCTATGGAAAGCTGTTGGGCTCAAAGTGGGGAGACCTTATGTTTTCCTGTATAACCTGCGGGTAACATGACATGGAGGGACTGGCTCTAGCTGTGTGGTTTTACCTCTCAGAGCCTCAGCTTCCCCATCTATAAAATGGGGAGAAACAATCCTGCCTCGCTCAAGGTGGAAGGATTCGGTTCAGATTCCAGCTTTTCTAGTTACTATCTTAGACATGATACTTGACCTGCCAGAGCTTTACTGACCTCACCTGTAAAACAGGGTTAATAACAGGAGCCGTCTCATCAGGGTTGTTGTGAGGGTTAAATGAAATGATACCTGAGAAGTACTCAGAACCGTGCTTGGCCCATAGTCAGTGCTGTGTAAACGCTACATGTCGTATTAGTCAGCATTTGATCGGTTATGCTTCTGTGACAAACATCCCCTGGATCTCAGTGTTTTATAAAAACCAACGTTCCTTTCTCATGTTATAAGGCAGCTGTGTCGTTCTGGGATCCGGGCTGAAAAAGCAGGTCTTGTTTAAAACTTGGAACTCTCACAGCAGAGGGAAAGGAGCCATGGTAAAAACAGAGACTCGAAGCTTCTACTTGGGCTGCCACATGTCCCTTGTGCTCATGTTTCAGTGGCGAAAGCAAGTCGCATGACCCCTCCTGATGTTGATGGGGTGGGGAAATATATTCTCTCAGAGGGCAGGGCCGAGAATGTGGGGATGGCAAGGTGATAGGCCACTGTCATGATTGTGTTAGCACAGGGCCATTAGGACGTGAGGCTCATTATGCAGATGCTTTGTCATCAGTTTAGTTTGGACTGTGGCAAAATGGTGAGTTTTGAAACTTTGTCATTAAAGTGGTTCTTGGCTGGAGAGAGCTGCCTTGCCCAAGGTTACCCAC